CCTTCCTTCCTTCCTTCCTTCCTTCCTTCCTTCCTTCCTTCCTTCCTTCCTTCCTTCTTTCCTTTCTTTCTTTGCTTTTTCAGGTGTAAAAGTGGTTTTTCCAATTCTGGGGACAGTATTTAGAGGTATCCAGAGTGGTCTGGGATTTAAAGTGGCCATCACAGCCTTTTCTACCCCAAACCACCAGCAAGAGAAGTGCTTACCTTTTATACCAAGGAGGTTGCAAAACATCAAACCAGTGTGTGCCCAGGTGAACATGGCCTGTGGTGGTTCCATGAGTGCTAAGTCTGTCAGTGGCAGGATCAAGCTTGCTTTCCTTGCGGTGAAATTGTGATTGAAAACAGGAACACTGAGTCAGGAAGCTAAATGAACTCAAAGGGCTTTTTAAACAATTAAAAGAAAAAGGTCACTGTCCTAGAATCTCAGCCACCCTGGAGACTGATGCAAAAGATGGAAAGTTCAAGGCCTATCTGGGCTACAGAATGAGTTCAAGGCTAGGTTAGGTAAATTAGCAAGACCTTGTTCCAAATAATAACTAAGTAGCTAGAGCTATAGCCCAGTGGTAGAGAGCTCATGGTCCTATGCTCAGTCCCGCTGCACTGCAGAATTAAAGTAAAACTGAAAAACAAAAGCAATGGTTACTTCAGCATTACATTGCAAACACCCACTCAGACATTTACTTCACAGGCTGAACTGCTCTAGTTTTGGTCCCAGTTTTCCCTGGGACATGAGTGTAGGCATGTGTTCTGAGGATGTGGCCACTGTTCCTCCCCCACCCAAATGTCCTCCTACACACAGTTGTTTTCCCAAGTGTATATGTGAAAGGGAGGAAGTAGACTTACTTACTTATAACTCTAGATGTCTTATTGGAAGAGGAACTCAAGACCACGTGTAGCAAAGGGTTGAATCCAGGTTGAAGTATGTTTCCTTCTCCATGTTTTCTCTGAGCAGGGACCCTTGGTTACCGCCTTTGCCCTTCTTTTGCTGGATGGAACAGGAAGATAATCAGGGTGTGTGTGAACTCCAGAATTCTGAAGAGAGAGGCATGGGTTCTGACTTTGAGAACTCTGAGGACCGGGAAGGGGACCCAGGAGAACGAGGAACAGGCTCTAATCCACGGGACACAGAAGAGAGAGGCCACCTGGAGGAGGAGGTGGACTCCATGCCACAGGATGCTGACCTAGGAGAGGACTCACAAGAGAGGGAAGTAGTGTCCACTGTCTGTTCAGGTGAGAGGATTGGGGTATCCATTGAAGTTGTGGCACCCACATTTGCACTTGGTTCCTTTGGCATAGAAGCAGGGCCAGCATCCTGCAGACCTAAGGGTCTCTAGAGGCCGCTGAGCAGGATTCTTACCTGACTTGGCTTCCCTAATGTTGGTCCTGTGAGTACCCTTTTCTTTAATTCAGTCCACTACTGAGGCCACACTGGTAAGTCTGAGTAAGGAGTCAGTCGAGGGTGCTGCCCTTTGCTTCAGGTGATCACTTGTAACACCACCACAGTGGAATCACAGGCAATGCCAGGGCCTCCTTCACTGCTGTCAGGGGAAGCACCATGACAACTTGGGTTTAAAGAGCAATGTAGGATCCTAGAGAGATGGCTCAGTGGTAAAGGGTGCTTCCTAATCTTGGAGAAGACCTGAGTTCAGTTCTAAGCACCCGTACCATTCTCACAGCCACCTGGAATCAGTTCCAGGGGATCCAGTGTCCTCTTCTTGTCTTTGTTGGCACCTGCAAAAATTTGGTATACACAAACTCACACGCACCCATAATAGATGAATTATATATTTCCTAAAAAAAAATTCAGGAGCGACTCAGCACAGTGCTGGGCAAAGTACATTGGTATTTCCAGTTAAATCATCACTTTCCTTCTAGATAAGCAGATTCGGTGGTTAAGTGACCTACCTGTGTTCATGAGGCTGATTACCCAAGCGCCCTAGTTCCTGGCTACCATCCTTGCTATTTCTGACCTGAACGAAAATGCTGGATCTCTAGCCACTTCCTTGTTTTTGTCTTTGGGCACTGGTTGCTCTTTCCTGTTCAGGGTATACAGTAGGGACAGAAAAGAGGTGAAACACTCTATGCCAGGACTGTGTGGTTACATTCCTTTCCCCATGGCAAAGTCCCAGAGTCCTTGCTGCTCCATGGTTCTCACAGCCCTGTGGCTGAGGAAGCAGCCATAGACTGGCATATCCTCTGCCAGTTTCTAGCTTGTTCTTACTAGTTCTGGGCTGTCTGTCATTCTTTCCCCATCCCTCCTTCACCAATGCTGAGTTCAGTTTGTTCATAGGTGTGTCCAGCCTCCTGCTGAGAGCAGCTTTGAATGTGACCCAACAAAAAATTGTAAACACAATTAAAACATGAGATTGTGTGTGTTCGTATGTATGTGTGTGTGTTGTTATGTATGTCAGACAGAGGTCATCCTCAGGCATTATTCCTTAGGAGAATTTCGAGATGGGGTCTTTTTGGCCTAGAGCTCATCAAGATAGGCTAGGTTGGCTGGCCAGCAAGCTCCAGGGAGATTTGCCTGTCGCTGCCTTCCCAAGAATTACAAACAGCAGCCACCCCACTTGGCTCCCCCTCAACATGCTATTTTTATTGATTATTTGGAAATTTCACATCATGTACCCCATCATACTCACTTTGTAGTTCTCCCAGCTCTGCTCTCCCACCCTGGTGACTTCTGGCTCCCACCAAAAAGGAGGGGGAGAGGGGAAGAGGAAGAGAATAAAAAAAAAGAGGGGGAAAAAGTCCGCTTTTTAGGTTCTAGGTATGGAAATCGGTCCTCATGCCTGCACATCACTATAGAGCAGCGGTCTTCAACCTGTGAGTTATAACTCTTTGAGGGGGTTTAATTATGACTCATAACGGTAGCAAAATTACAGTTATGAAATAGCAACGGAAATAATTTATGGTTGGGGTCATCCAAAAGCATCCAGAAGGCTGAGAACCACTGTTTTAGAGATAAGCGCACGCTCATTTTTCTTTTTTCTTCCTTAACACTTGACTCCTTTTCGAGCATAAACTTTGTAGACAGCAACACAGTATCGCAATGTCAGAGGCTGGTCACGATCTCAGGCTGTTCCCGATTGACCAAATGGTTTTGTTTCTGTTGTGACATCTGTCCGGAACCTGATGAGTCCTACTGCTCTCTTACTTTTCGTGACTCACCTGACTTGTGTTTTGAGGCGCTAGCCATAGAAAGTATGGCTGAGGAAAAAAATAATTTTCCCTTTTCTTTTCTGGAGACCTGTCTCCGGAGTCCCCATCTGGTACAAAGCTGGCCATCGACAGGCTTCTGGCAAGGCAATTTGGCAGAGGAGAGCCTTGGGGGTTGGGGTGTACAGTAGGCGGGCTCCGCCAAAAGACTGGTTGCCAGTGGGGCAGTGTGCACTACTCTTTAGGTCTTACCTTGAGGAAACTGCTGGGGAAGAGGCCGGAGTTTAAGGCAGGGCTCACACTCTTGGTAGGCAGTTCCCCTAGAACACCTTTGAACACCAGGTCTAGTTGACGCCATTGCCAATTTGTCTGTTGCAGAGAGGCTGCTGTGTGAGGAAGAAGGGGCTGTTCTCCGTGAGGAAGAGGACGCCCAGCCCGGTGTGGCTGACATGGCGCTGTTCCCAGGATTGTCAGAATCCGACAGCATATCCCGGAGTCCTCGGGGAGAGGAGGAGGGGGAGGAGGAGGAGGAGGAGGAGGAGGAAGAGGAGGAGGAAAGTGCGGGGGAGAACCGGCTGACGGAGGAAGAAGAGCAGCTGCCTACCCCGGTGCTTCCCTGGAGGCGTCACCTCTCCCTGGGCGGCCATCACCTGGGTGACAAGCCTCATCGCCGCTTCCACCGGCTCCACCACCCCATGGCCGTGGACCTCGGGGAACTCGACAGTCTGATGGCCAGCATCATGGACGCGCCCACCATCTGCCCGGACTGCGGGGAGAGCTTCAGCCCGGGCGCCGCCTTCCTGCAGCACCAGCGCATCCACCGCCTGGCGGAGGCGGCGGCCGTGGCCAGCCTGGAGCCCTTCGGCTTGGCGGGCGAGTGCGGAGGGGTGGTGGGGGTGATGGGCGTGGCCGGCGGCTTCGGGGCGGGGCCCGCGCTGGCCCGGCCCCCTCGCGAGAAGCCCTTCCGCTGCGGCGAGTGCGGCAAGGGCTTCAGCCGCAACACCTACCTGACCAACCACCTGCGGCTGCACACGGGCGAGCGGCCCAACCTGTGCGGCGACTGCGGCAAGAGCTTCAGCTGGCGCGCCGACCTGCTCAAGCACCGGCGCCTGCACACGGGCGAGAAGCCCTACCCGTGCCCCGAGTGCGGCGAGGCCTTCAGCCTCAGCTCGCACCTGCTGAGCCACCGGCGAGCGCACGCGGCGGCGGGCGGCGCGGGCCCCGCGGCGCTGCGGCCCTTCGCGTGCGGCGAGTGCGGCAAGGGCTTCGTGCGCCGCTCGCACCTGGCCAACCACCAGCGCATCCACACCGGCGAGAAGCCGCACGGCTGCGGCGAGTGCGGCAAGCGCTTCAGCTGGCGCTCGGACCTGGTGAAGCACCAGCGCGTGCACACGGGCGAGAAGCCCTACATGTGCTCCGAGTGCGGCGAGGCCTTCAGCGTGAGCTCGCACCTCTTCACGCACAAGCGCACGCACTCGGGCGAGCGGCCCTACGTGTGCCGCGAGTGCGGCAAGGGCTTCGGCCGCAACTCGCACCTGGTCAACCATCTGCGCGTGCACACGGGCGAGAAGCCCTTCCGCTGCGCCCAATGCGAGAAGCGCTTCGGCGACTTCTCCACGCTCACGCAGCACCAGCGCACGCACACGGGCGAGAAGCCCTACACGTGCCTCGAGTGCGGCAAGAGCTTCATCCAGAGCTCCCACCTCATCCGCCACCGCCGCATCCACACCGGCAACAAGCCCCACAAGTGCGCCGGCTGCGGCAAGGGCTTCCGCTACAAGACGCACCTTGCTCAGCATCAGAAGTTGCACTTGTGCTAGGGCCAGGGTCCGAGCGATTTGGGAGCCATAGGCCTGGTTACTGATCCTGTAGATGTCGGGGAAGGGGCGGGAGGGGCGGCCTGAGAGTCTGGGGGAAGCCTTTTGATGTGTGGGGTCCCCTTAGGGGACGGTTAAGAAGAGTTACTGTCTCGAGGTGCCCATCTCTACCGTCGAAGTAACTCTTGAAGAGATGCGCTGGAGTTGATGGCTTACTTAGACACACACTGTAAGGAGTGAAAAGCTTGGGTGGGCAGGCTTGGGAGACCCCCAGGAAGGAGTTTGGGGCCTGGGTAGAGAGAGTTGGGCTGCCATGTTTGTGGGAACCGGGAGAGCTGGTTTGCTTAGAGTTCCAGGAGTGCAGTAGAACATGGGTAGGAATAAGTCTGTCACACCTGAGGAGTAGTAAGCGCGTGTTTGCCCTGACACCTCTCATACCAGCTCTGGTCTCATCCCTGTGGAAGAGGGTGCTTAGTAGCCACTTCCTGTCCTCTGAGCCTCGGTTAGCTGCTGTCTCGAGACATCCAGGGGGAACTGAACAGAAAAGCTGCACAGTTGCTTCAAGGAGCAACCTTAGAAATTCACCTGTCATTGGTTCTCAGATCTCTTAGGAAGTCCTGCACCTGGTCCTTCACTGATTCTTAAAAGTACTCAAGCTTCATGTCGGGTCAGGGTTGTCTAGGCAGGTGGATGACCCTAACCCCTAAGTCAGGTAAGTCAGGACCACCCAGTCTGACTTCCCCCAGTTCGGCTTGAAGGGTAGGTTTCAGAACTGAAGACCGTTGACAGCTGCCTCAGAAACCTGTTCACCAAAGTCAACAAGCTGTTTCTGCTGGCTTTGTGTGGAACATGAAGGTGGAGTTCACAGGATGGGATGCCTTCATTTGCATAAGAGTACCCTGAACCCCAACTTCTGCACAGATTAATGAGG